AGGGAAAATGAGGCCTTGAGTCTTGTAATCTTCTATTATGGGCTTCATGCCTTCTTTACTGTAGGGTATTGATTAATTCTGGGAATAGATTTTGAGGGATCTATTTATTGCTCAGAGGTCCAGGACAGACTTTCACCTTTGGCTTTTAGGTTTTCTCATCAGTAAAATGGTAGTTACAGAGACTAGTACAAGGGAAAATGAGGCCTTGAGTATTGTAATCTTCTATTATGGGCTTCATGCCTTCTTTACTGTAGGGTATTGATTAATTCTGGGAATAGATTTTGAGGGATCTATTTGAACTTTTTTTTTTTTAATGTATTTTTGGCTGTACTGGGTCTTAGTTGCTGCATGCTGGCTTTCTCTAGTTGTGGATCGCTGGAGCTTCTCTTGCTGCGGAGCCTGGGCTTTATTTAGAACACCTGGCTCAGTAGTTATGGCACATGTGCTTAGCTGCTCCATGGAATTTGGATCTTTCTGGTCGAGGAAGGGATCCAACCCATATCCCCTGCATTGGTAGGCAGATTCTTAACCACTGGACCAGTAGGGAAGTTCCCATCTGAATCTTGATAAGAGATGTGATGTGGAATTACCAACATCAGTTGATGATTCACCCATAAGGAAGGTGGTAACTGATGTAATAGGGCCAAAGATCAGTGTTTCCAGAATCAGCCCTAGTAACATCAGAGACAGAATGAATAAAATATGTCAAAGAGTAATTTAATTCCACTGGTAGTTTACATTGATGATTGCTGTAAAGTTCTAGAATTGTCTTCCCCTTTTGGGAGAGAGCAATTCTGGCATGATACTTCTCTAAGAAGTCTTGGCCTCATCTTATGTGTATCTTTCAAAGGGTCTAAAGAAAGGCAATAGATTCAGAGACAGGAACCTCTTGAAGTTCAACCCCACTAGTTGAACTTTTTAGTATTACAAAGCAGAGCTGCTTTATAGGAATGTGTTTGAACATGGAGAGTGTGACTTTAGTGTTATTTAGGACTGGAAGAGATTCATCCCCAATCTGTAGTAATTTTTCTACAAGCCGATCAAGAGGGAGGGTTGGGAAGAGCCCCTGTGGTCCTTTGGAGCCCCGTCATTGAGAAGTGGAAGGAACATAGAAAGGCAGGCTGGAAAACTGAAGGTGCCTACAGCACTTAAATTTGTAACAATCTCTTTTTCAATTTCATGGCTCTTTTCAATAATAGAAGAAACCAGGGTAGTTTGGGTTTTGTTTGTTGTTGTAAGTCATATCCAACCCTTTTGTGACCCCATGAACTGTAGCCCTCCAGGCTCCACTGTCCGTGGGCCTTCCTAGGCAAGAATACTGGAGTGGTTTGTCATTTCCTTCTCCAGAGGATCTTCCTGATGCAGGGATCAAATCCATGTCTCCTGCATTGCAGGCTGATTCTTTACTCTGAGCCACCAGGAAAGACTTAGGTTTTGTTTAGGGATCTTCATTTGCTGGAGCTGAAGATTAAGAATGTTGATGTTTTTCCTTTTAGGTGACTCATTCAGAGTGAGAGCAAGCTGGCTTGTCAGATTAACTAAATCAGGAGTGGATGTGGTTTCCCATTCCATCCTGATTCTTTTTACTAGAAGAAAAGGTCTCAGTTTAGCCCATTCATAAATATAGAGTTTAAAGTTACCAGGATAGAATCAACATCTGAAAGAAGAAAAGAATTTTCTCTAAAAATAATCTGAAGTTGATTGTAATAGTTATGACCAGTTTCATCAGATTTTTGTGTGCAAGCCTGAATTTTGTCCAATCAACAGGCTTAGGTAAATCCCTAGGAATTGCCTGATGAGTCACTGGTGATTGCTTGAGCCTGATCAGATAGTGAAGTAGCAGGCTGCTCTTTCAATTGTAACTCTAGAGACCTTTCAGGATATTCTCAATTAGCAGTTTTCATCCAGTGCTGGGTCTGGCCTTCACCAACAAACTTATGAACTAGCTGAGATAGGTCAGACAAACCAGGTAGATAAGTCTGAATGACTATATTAAATTCCTTAGTAATTCTGTGAGGATCTTTTATTACTTTGGGAAAATCTTTGACTATGGTTTCAAGGAAAAGGGAAGTTTGGCAAGAGACTTAGTGTGAGGAATTTAGCATATAGAGAAGGGGTAGGTGATATAAGATCTTCCCTGGAGTTTCAGTGGTAAAGAATTTGGCTGCAATGCAGGAGATCCAGGTTCAATCTCTGGGTCAGGAAGATACCCTTGAGGAGGAAATGGCAACCCCCTCTAGTATTCTTGCCTGGTAAATCCCACGGACAGAGGATCCTATCAGGCTACAGTCCATGGGATTGCAAGAGTTGGACACAACTTAGTGCAACTAAACCACCACCACCACCAGGTTAGAGGGAAGGAGGAAGATGGCACCAGAGGTAGGTCCTGAGACAAAGAAGCCAGGGAAGGAGCATGAGGTTTTAGAAGCATTTTCTCTTTCTTTTTTTTCCCCTCAATTCATCTTAAACATCTTATTTTGCAGAGAAGCAATTTTAGGCTCCTGATAACATTTGGAAACCTCAGAATACCAATTAAAATAAGTATTGTATTAAGTTTCTGGAAATGTTGGAACATTGTCCAATTAGGTTTTTAGAAAAATGAGTTTGGGGATTTAAAAAATTCCCTATAATGGCCACTGATATTCTAAATCACCTTTAGTTAGGTTGGTCCATTTGGTTAGAAATATGCCTGAGGAAGGACTATAGTTTTTAAACATAAAATTGGCCAGAGTCTCTATAAATGGGCATGCTCAAAACTTTAGATAGTAGGGATCCCATTTCTCAAAGGTTTCTACCTAGAGTAAAAAGATAATTTTCAAATAGCATAAACATCTCAAGCAACTCAAACAGCCTTCAGGTCTAATACCAGCCAGTTCAGAAGGAACACTCTAGTTCTGAAGACCCCCAAGTCAAAGTCTGCTCCATACAGCTCTAATATAACAGCCCAATTCAAAGGGAGTCAGGCCAAAGGCTTAATACCACAGTGCCAATAAAATAGCCCCTCTTCCAAAAGGAATTGAGTCAAAGACTGAACTGACACAGTTATAATGTAACAGCTCCTGATCCCAGTGGAATGAACCAGAGGCTAGCCAATTCCAGGAGGAACAGCCCCCAACCCCCGTTCCAGAAGTAATCCTGCCAAAGATGAGCACAGTTCCAATTTAAAAAGGCCGATTTCAAAAATCAGTTCAGTTCAGTTCAGTTACTCAGTGGTGTCCGACTCTTTGCGACCCCATGAATCACAGCACGCCAGGCCTCCCTGTCCATCACCAACTCCTGGGGCTTACTCAAACTCATGCCCATCGAGTCGGTGATGCCATCCAGCCATCTCATCCTCTGTCATCCCCNGTGGTGTCATCTGCATATCTGAGGTAATTGATATTTCTCCCGGCAATCTTGATTCCAGCTTGTGCTTCTTCCAGCCCAGCATTTCTCATGATGTACTCTACATATAAGTAAGCAGGCAAATTCAAAAATCAGGCATATGCCAAATAACTCACACACATACAGAACAAAGTCTTAGCCAGAAAATACATAGCCTTAAAACAGATCCCCAGTAAAACCTGGAGGGCTTCAAAATGCAAATAGGGCAGTAGCTTACATCTAGAAGAAAGACTAACTCTTAGATCCCAGGGCTGACAAGAAAAGCAGTGAGCAGCAATGGGTTCAATGTGACCATCACACTTGTCTACCACCACTAGCCTGGAAATCAACAGGGTCTTTGGATCTCCATGCAGGCCACCAAAATGTTGACTTAAATCGACTGCCAGCAATTTCTCCAGTAGAAATGAGTTTGCTTGGGATCAACAAAGAATTGCAGTTTGGGGTCTACAACTGTGGCGAGCCACATGCCAGTCCCCCCACAGCAAGGAGAGAAGGACTTTTTTTTAAAAGGGAAAAGGAAGGTGGGAGCATATAGTAAACAGAGTCTGTTGGAGGACTTTGGAGAGCTTGAAGTAGAGTGGCTTTTCAGGGACTGAGTTGTGAGTCTCTCATTGGCTGAGCTCTTGCCAGGCAAGGAAAGCTTTTCTTCCTGTTGGGCTCTGCTATTGTCATAGTGCGTGAGAGCTCCTCTTTCTGACTTCCCAACTCTATTTTAATTGAGGTTTCTGTTTATCAGTTTTGCACTATCCATCTCCTTTTTTAAAATTGCTTTTTTTACTCTGTTTAGATCTTTGTAACCTCTCCCCACCTTCATTCTTTCTATTAATCAACATATATTCCTCTTCATTGTTAAATTCACTATGAAATGGAGCTTTGAACATTGGAGAAATATGAATCTCAACTTTTCAAGAATCTTCAAATGTTCTATATTGTTTTCTAACTTCTTATATTATCTCAGTTTAGCATCTTGGGCATTCTAAAATGTAATCTCAAATTATATCAGCTACAGTGATTCTTCAGCCTAATGCTCTCCTAACTGAGCTGTTCCGGCTAGCTAACTACAGTGATTCTTAACCATGGCGCATCATCAATAAATATGTGCATATACCTATACATACAAAGAGTTGCATATGATTTTATGCACAAGTCTTAGAAAAATACACCTGTTCTGTGTCCTCATATCCTGCCACTCTGCTACACATACCTTAAATTCCAACCATATTAGACCATGAGCAACTTGAGGACTGACAGTTTTTATGCAAAAACACACCCTCATACACCCCATGATACTATCTCAAATATCTCCACCAAGTAAGTCAGCCCCTAGAATGTCTCTCTTGAGGTCTTTCACAATGTTTTCATTCTCTCTTTACCTGTTACCTGGATAGCTTGGGAAACATTTGGGAAAGATAAATATCATTTTCCAGATTTTAGTCTCTGATATTCTTCCTAAAATAAATTCGTTTATTCTGGTGGAAAATAATTTTTCCCTAAAGAACTTGGGTTTTACTCATCTTGATGAAAACAGGTTTCAATTTTATTTAAATTTTATATCAGTTTGACTCATGTCAACTCAAAAGGGTGTTCTTTGATGTCTTTTGATTTCTATTTTCCAGGTTTCTTGAGCACAGGGGATCAGGCTGCAAAAGGAAACTATGGACTCCTTGATCTCATACAGGCTTTAAGATGGACTAGTGAGAATATTGGATTCTTTGGTGGTGACCCCTTAAGAATCACTGTTTTTGGATCTGGTGCTGGGGGTTCATGTGTCAATCTGCTGACTTTATCCCATTATTCTGAAGGTAACCGTTGGAGCAATTCAACCAAAGGTATTATGCAGGTTGCAAATTTTGACAATTTTGGTGTCTGCATGCCACCACCATCAGTAGTATGTGATGCTCTGTATATATTTCTCTGTTTAAACTAAATGTTAGAATGAACTCAATAACTGTTAAAACTTTGTTTCTTCAGCTTCTCTATGCATGTTTAAATTTTTGTCAAACTCTTTGTTTCCTGTGGAGCTTGGAATGGATGCCCTTACAAGCACACTTCAGAATAATTAACATTACAGTAACTTTTCTCTCCTCCAAAGGGTGATTTTGGGGAAAATCAAAGATGTTCACAGTTCTGTTATGTTGATTCAGTAGTCAAAAATCAAAGACCTGGTTTTTTTTTAAAAAAATTATCATTTAATACAAGGCTTGTATATAATCTATTTTCTAGATGGTAAACGTTTTAAACCCTTTACTAGTATGAAGATAATAAGGAAGCGGTTGTTAGCTAGTTCGTCTGGAAACGTCATTTTCACTTGCCTGAGTAGAGGACAGACGTTTGATTATTTTGCATGCATGATCCAGCTAGCTAACTACAGTGATTCTTAACCATGGCGCATCATCAATAAATATGTGCATATACCTATACATACAAAGAGTTGCATATGATTTTATGCACAAGTCTTAGAAAAATACACCTGTTCTGTGTCCTCATATCCTGCCACTCTGCTACACATACCTTAAATTCCAACCATATTAGACCATGAGCAACTTGAGGACTGACAGTTTTTATGCAAAAACACACCCTCATACACCCCATGATACTATCTCAAATATCTCCACCAAGTAAGTCAGCCCCTAGAATGTCTCTCTTGAGGTCTTTCACAATGTTTTCATTCTCTGTTTACCTGTTACCTGGGTAGCTTGGGAAACATTTGGGAAAGATAAATATCATTTTCCAGATTTTAGTCTCTGATATTCTTCCTAAAGTAAATTCGTTTATTCTGGTGGAAAATAATTTTTCTCTAAAGAACTTGGGTTTTACTCATCTTGATGAAAACAGGTTTCAATTTTATTTAAATTTTATATCAGTTTGACTCATGTCAACTCAAAAGGGTGTTCTTTGATGTCTTTTGATTTCTATTTTCCAGGTTTCTTGAGCACAGGGGATCAGGCTGCAAAAGGAAACTATGGACTCCTTGATCTCATACAGGCTTTAAGATGGACTAGTGAGAATATTGGATTCTTTGGTGGTGACCCCTTAAGAATCACTGTTTTTGGATCTGGTGCTGGGGGTTCATGTGTCAATCTGCTGACTTTATCCCATTATTCTGAAGGTAACCGTTGGAGCAATTCAACCAAAGGTATTATGCAGGTTGCAAATTTTGACAATTTTGGTGTCTGCATGCCACCACCATCAGTAGTATGTGATGCTCTGTATATATTTCTCTGTTTAAACTAAATGTTAGAATGAACTCAATAACTGTTAAAACTTTGTTTCTTCAGCTTCTCTATGCATGTTTAAATTTTTGTCAAACTCTTTGTTTCCTGTGGAGCTTGGAATGGATGCCCTTACAAGCACACTTCAGAATAATTAACATTACAGTAACTTTTCTCTCCTCCAAAGGGTGATTTTGGGGAAAATCAAAGATGTTCACAGTTCTGTTATGTTGATTCAGTAGTCAAAAATCAAAGACCTGGTTTTTTTTTAAAAAAATTATCATTTAATACAAGGCTTGTATATAATCTATTTTCTAGATGGTAAACGTTTTAAACCCTTTACTAGTATGAAGATAATAAGGAAGCGGTTGTTAGCTAGTTCGTCTGGAAACGTCATTTTCACTTGCCTGAGTAGAGGACAGACGTTTGATTATTTTGCATGCATGATCCAAAATTGTCAAAGCATTAAGGTCACTAGTAGAGCTTTTGATTAAAAAGAAAAATATGTTTGATTTTGTGCTTTTTCTATTTTCAACTCCAAAAATGTTATTTTTTCTCCCTGACGCCTGGCAAAGCAGCCTGGAGCACTAAGGCTGGTTAAATCCATGAGATATTGTTTTTGTCTCCGTTTTCTGGCCTTGACATCTTTTTTCCAAGATGCCTGTGCAAGGCTTATCATGCTGGTCTTTACGAACTCCCATTTTACCATGAGTTTAGTCACCCATTCTTATAGCATTATTAACTTGAAATGTCCACAAGAACAGAAGTGTTTTGTTGGAGAAGTCTGTAAAGTAAATACTTTCTCTCCATTATACATAGATAGGAAATAGATAGGAATAGAGAGGAAAAGAGAGAATACATATCAACATAGACCATCTTATGTTTTCTGCTTTTCCATTGTCAGTTTATAGATATTAAGAAAGTATACACTGTCGGTTTTAAATCATGAAGCTTGTCAGTTTATAAGACTAAATTGTATTATATGAGCACCAGACACAGAATATTTGTTTTTGGCATCAAAGACACATTAATGTCAAATTTCAGAATAACAGTCATTAAATGAGTTTATATATTTGAAGGATCACATATTATTATTGACTTAATTTGTAGACATAGTTTATGTAACTTCTCAGTTGTATTAGTAGAGTTCTGATCGAGATAGCAAAATGACACATGTTTGAGAACTCTTCCAAAGTATAGAGATTTTGGTCTTCAGTGAAATGACTTATTTTGAAATAATAAAGTTTGTTGTTTTTTTCTTTAACTGAGCAGATTAAAATGTTCTAGCTTGAAGTCTACACTAATGCCAGTACTTATCTAGGATATTATTAGCCAATCTCTTCAGACTTCTTAGGGTCATTTGGTCTCAAAGATCTTATAGAAGTCTTATTTTAGCTCTAAAGTTTTTAAGCAGTGAAATATTTCTCTGAGCCAATATTGACAAACACAAGTTTAAAAAGTTATTCGTACTATAGGTATTCTCTTTGCTGTAGCAAACTGAAAATATTTTCATAAAGATGTCGGAAATCAAAACAAATATTTATTAGTATTGTTTGACTTTTTGAATATTTTAGAATTATCTGGAAACATTATTACAGGTATTTTGAATACATATATGTGTTTGGATAAAAAAATGAAAGCTTTGCTTCTAATTTAGTCATTACTTTAGCACCTTTGTGAAAAAGAGTTCTTATACATTAACACATATGAATGATTGAGCATGTGTTTGAATAACTGAACTACAAAGCTGTATTTGGAAATTGCTAATAAAGGTAATTTTTAAAATAGAATAGAGAAATTATATTTTTAAAATGAGAATTTTATTAGAAAATTCCCTAATAAGTAAAGTTCATTTATAAATTTGAATGGTATGCAGTTCTTATCAAGCTGCATATGGAACCATGATTTATAATGTTAAATGTAATTAAGTGAAAAGCAATGGACCATGTACTTTTCATCTTTTATGATAAAATATAGCAGTGTACATTCAACAGTGGGAAAAGTTAAATCACTCTCTGCCCCCACTAAACCCTTCTGCTGATGGTTTTCTCTTTAACCTAGCAAATACACTGCAAATGTTATACCATCCTCAGAAAGATGAGTATTCAACATACTGTGTCTGATACAAAGAGCTGGAAAGAGTATGTCTAAAATGATATTCTGTTTTGTGTGCCTTTAGGGCCATCCCCAGGGTATTAGCAAATTCCCAGCCCCAGTAGTTATGTAAACATATCAACAATTGTTTTCAAATAAATTCTGATTAAAACAAACACACAGAGCCATTTTGAAGAAAGATACATGCAGCCAAATTGGAGGAAATATCCTCAAAAGACAATACAAAGTCTGATGTAGAGCTAAAGGGGAGAAAGCCCCATCTGGCTGGCTGTGACAGTAACATAGGTGTGTACATGCTGAGCAAATAAATAATTGAGACTTCTTTTACCACTACTATTTACACATTTTCCATTTCTCCTTGCTTACTGCCTTTTTGAGACAGGGCACAATCTAGATCTCTTTCTTCTCAAAGTAGTTGCTACTGAAAGCAGAAGACTCAAATCCATCTTTCCAATTCATCGTACCCTGGGGATGACTTTGTGTACCTTCTCTTAAGCAAAAATGTCTCTATCTCCCTGTTTCTTGAGTCATATCTGGGTTTTTATATACACATCTCAAATATCAGATTTGATTGTTTTACCACAACATTATTCAAAGGTCGTCTGAAATGTTTTGCTTTGTTTTGTTTTCTCCCATAGGACTCTTTCAACGAGCAATCGCTCAAAGTGGAACAGCCCTTTCCAGCTGGGCTGTTAGTTTCCAACCTGCAAAATATGCTAGAATGTTGGCCACAAAAGTTGGTTGCAATGTTTCAGATACAGTAGAGTTAGTGGAATGCCTGCAGAAGAAGCCTTACAAAGAACTTGTTGACCAAGATATTCAACCAGCACGATACCACATAGCCTTTGGACCTGTGATTGATGGTGATGTGATACCGGATGACCCTCAGATACTGATGGAGCAAGGAGAGTTTCTCAACTATGATATAATGTTAGGAGTTAACCAAGGGGAAGGATTAAAATTTGTTGAAAATATAGTAGATAGTGATGATGGTATATCTGCTAGTGATTTTGACTTTGCTGTTTCCAATTTTGTTGATAACTTATATGGATATCCTGAAGGCAAAGATGTTTTGAGAGAAACCATTAAATTCATGTATACTGACTGGGCTGACCGTCATAACCCTGAAACCAGAAGGAAGACATTATTAGCTTTGTTTACGGACCATCAGTGGGTGGCACCAGCTGTAGCTACAGCAGATCTTCACTCAAATTTTGGTTCACCCACATATTTCTATGCCTTTTACCATCATTGCCAAACAGATCAGGTTCCAGCTTGGGCTGATGCAGCTCATGGAGATGAGGTTCCCTATGTACTAGGAATACCCATGATTGGACCTACAGAGTTATTTCCTTGCAATTTCTCCAAAAATGATGTGATGCTGAGTGCAGTTGTAATGACATACTGGACAAATTTTGCTAAAACTGGGTAGGTACCTAAGGAATGAAGTTTGCTATACTTTAGTAAAAATATCCTCTTAAGCACTTAAAATATACATGTTTTGTGTCCAAATGATTTAATTTAATAGGTTAATGCCAACAATATTTAAGTTCCTTTTTATTCAAAATTTATATTTGTGGTGTTTCAGAAATCACTGCTTTATTCTTATTTTGTAAAGCTTATTAAGAAAGTCTTTAATCTTTATTGTATTACTCAATGATTAAATTTATTTTGTTTCTTTTTTTAATTACACAGGATTTGTTATTATTATTCAATAATGACAAGTTTCATTTTATAGAGATTTTCAGTTTACAGTACTGTATGCCTTTGATCTTCCCAAGTACTTTGTGAGGAGAGCAGGTCAAATACCATAATCCCATTTTACAGAAAAAGGGCCTCAGGCTGTGAAAGCTTTACATAGATATATTCAAATGTCTAGTATATAGCAGCATTAGGACTCCAATCCTCACCTGCCAATTCCAAATCCCAACTTTTTCCCCACTGCTGTCTCTACTAGCTTGCCTATGAGAAAACTCACTTGTACTTGAATTTTTTTTTCATTTATTTTTATTAGTTGGAGGCGAATTACTTTACAATATTGTAGTGGTTCTTGTCATACATTGACATGAATCAGCCATGGATTTACATGTATTGCCCATCCCGATCCCCCCTCCCACCATCTTGAGAAAGAATTTTTTAATCTTTGGATGTGTAGCAGTCCATGGGTAGAGAGAACAAGAAAGTGAGATTTACTCAAATTATGTTATCAACCATTTAACAACCTGCCTGAGATGGAATTGCTATTTCTAAATTAACCCCTTATATTAAAACAGTCTAAAGCCTTGCTGAGTTACCTCTTCAATTAAATGTTAAATTAGTGCTATTGTGATTTTTGAAAGAATAAAGCAAATTTCTTTCTCATAATTTCTCTTTTCTAGTGACCCAAATCAACCCGTCCCTCAAGACACAAAATTCATACATACCAAACCCAACCGCTTTGAAGAAGTAGCATGGACCAGATATTCCCAGAAAGACCAACTTTATCTCCATATTGGATTAAAACCAAGAGTTAAAGAACATTACAGAGCCAATAAAGTAAACCTCTGGTTGGAGCTGGTACCTCATCTGCATAATCTCAATGACATTTCTCAGTATACCTCGACAACAACTAAAGTGCCATCAACTGACATCACTTTCAGACCTACGAGAAAAAATTCCATACCTGTCACATCAGCCTTTCCCACTGCCAAGCAGGATGATCCCAAACAACAGCCAAGTCCATTTTCAGTGGATCAAAGGGACTACTCAACAGAGCTGAGCGTTACTATTGCCGTTGGAGCATCACTGCTCTTTCTGAACATCTTGGCCTTTGCAGCCCTGTACTACAAAAAGGATAAGAGGAGACATGATGTTCACAGGAGATGCAGCCCTCAGCGTACCACTACCAATGATCTGACCCACGCACAAGAAGAGGAGATCATGTCCCTCCAAATGAAGCACACTGATTTGGATCATGAATGTGAGTCCATCCATCCACATGAGGTGGTTCTTCGGACCGCCTGCCCCCCAGATTACACATTAGCTATGAGGAGGTCACCTGATGATGTTCCTTTAATGACACCCAACACCATTACAATGATTCCCAACACTATACCAGGGATTCAGCCCTTACACACATTCAATACTTTTACTGGAGGACAGAACAATACACTGCCCCATCCCCACCCCCACCCCCATTCACATTCAACAACCAGGGTATAGCCAGATAAGAGAAACAAACTATTTTTTTGATGGATTGCAGTAAAAGATTACTGAAGATTCCTTGGCTTTCAACCTACAAGACTCTTACTATTTAAATAAGGAGGAATATTATGTGAATATACATATCAAGAACTTTGGGGGTTTTGGAAAAAAAAAAAGAATTGTACATATATACACAAATCAACTTTAAAAGCGAATTTCAATTGCTTGAAGCAATTGTTCTGAATGATACTTTTTCATTCACATTCAAGAATTAATTTTTTGAAGATTTATGTTACATAATGGAATTAGGCATGTGGAACACCAAACAGGAAAGAACTGTGTCTGAAATATAAATATAAAAATTTTAAAAATAACCATGAATATGCACAAGGGACACACCAATGGAATGTCAGATAATTTTCACCAGTTTTTATTTGGAGCTGTTTTATTGTGTAGACCATATTTACATATTTGGATAAGTATACAAAGCACCAATGCTGTTAATGGCCTTAGCAGAGGCTCATGCTGAAATTTGCCAGTAAAACAAAGAAGTTTAAAGACTGGCAGGTACAACATTATCACATAAGTGCTGTCAGTATAAAGTTGTGGGGATAAAGGAAACTGGATATTTTTAGCACGATGTGCATGATCATTTATATGCTTGGTGGCTGTGCTGCTGATTAAGCCGTAATTAAAATTCTTCTCATCCCATTGAAGTTTTTAATAGAAGCTTCCTCCATCAATTGGCAGAACCTAAAGAAGAATTTAGGGGGCAAAAGTAATTACAATAAAATAATTCACAGTAGTTCTGTTAATAGAAGGAATTAGTTACTAAATGTATCTGAAGAAACTATAGGTATAGTGGTGAATACTCGCTGATATGAATCCCAGAAAAAAAAATTTCCTGTGTTTTTAATGTTCTTTTCATTCCCATCTAAATATTTTCTAGAAATATAACCCTAATTGGACATGTGTTATAGGATCTATAATTTGCTGTGGTTTTTGTTATTCTGTATTTTGTTCCTTTGGGTAAGGTGAAGTGTGTCCAAAGAGTAACTTGCAAGTCTTTATGATCTGAGGATGCCCCAAATTACCAGTCTGATTACAGTTCTCAGTTCATTGATTTACTCATGTTGCATGACAAAATGTTTACTAATAATAATTCAATATAAAGTTATGTCCCTCCTCACGTCACTTATCTTTCTCACTGAGGTTCATTCACTGGAATTTACTCACACAGTCTCAATAGATTGCAACGTAGATAAAGAACCTAGAAAGAGCGTCAACACCTGGAGGATTGTAGTCTTACACGTATGTGTGATTTTTAAATGAATATTCTAAGACCACAGAAAACTCTTCATCCCCTTGTTGTTTACCAGTAACAGTATATCACAGACCTTTCCAAATGTTTGTATATGTAATCAGATGTACATTTATATTAAAAAAATTGAGATGGACTTAAAGAGCACATCCTGATAAATACTTTCTCTCTTACCTGTACTATATTTCTATTAGACTAAAGTTATGTGATTTTTTTTTACATTTTTTCAGATGACTAGCAATTTTGATAGTTTGTAAGATAATGCAAAGAACTTTCTCTGACAAACTAACTGCAGTAACAGAAACCTTTCTTTTCAGTTACTCTTTTTCAAGAATGAAAGCTTATTATACAAAAAAAAATTGTATACTACTTGATGGAAACAACTTTGTACATCTTGGCCATGTCACTGGTCATTGCGTGAAATAAAGATAATAATGACTATTAGTCCAATGCTAAGAGACATGATCTTTGCTCATTAAAGAGCTAAAATGTTTATTGCTGTTTTGTCTTTTTTTAAAAAACAAAAAAGAAGAAAAAATATGAAACATGACAGTCTCAGAGAGTCATTTCTCTAGACCAGTCGGGTTTTTGAAGACATGTAGGTAACTTCTGCAGAAGACACACTGTGTATTTAAAGTCAAGTCTCATCTAAAATGAAGCTGATGAAACATTAATTTTATTATGAATTTATAAGCCCAGGAACTCATGAAAAGTATTAGCATTGTATTTTTTAATACTTTGTCTTGTGAAAATGGCGTGGAAATAAAATGTGCCAATCGTTTTCAGTTAGAAACACACGTTCCAATTCTGATCATCAAGAAACAGGTCTATTGGAAATAAATGTGCAACATTTATGAAATACAATATCTAGGTTCCCAATATCAGGGTGATTAATTTCGCATAAAGTAGTGGATAGAAAGTTACCCTTCTCAGAAAATTTTAAAGTGTTGAGCAAGACTTTAAGCTAACAATAAAGATAAAAATCTTCTATTTTGAGGAATTTATTTACTTATAATTCCCCCTCCCAATTATTAACTATCAGTAAAATGTAGATGTTGCTCCATAACTTCAAATAAAAATCTGTTGGAAGCAGAAAAAGTCTTCAAAATCCAGAGCGGTCTATGTTCAGTTTTTGCCTGATGTGATTATGCTTTTAGGCTGTGAACTGCCAACATAAACATAAAGAATTGTTTTGCATCTTAAATATTGTTTAATCAGAAAACTCTCTTTTACTATATTGATTAAACAAAAGATAAAGACAAAAATAGAAATGACAGCAAAATAAGATATAAATGAAATCTTTCATATGCATTACTTCACTTAGCAAAACCATTCTATTTTAATGATGGCCTTATTTATATCTATCTACTTATCTATTGCTCTGAACTTATCTGTTACTTGATCTACCTAGCTATCATAACAGACATTTATTTTATACTAATTTAGGAAAATGACCTAGGAAAACAAAGCATAGCCCTATTTTGTTTTTATTAATGTAGCAAAAACTTTGTGGAGGATAAAGCAGCTCTAAGTTTTATTACTGTTTGAGGTCATGATGATGTCATTGTGAGCGTTAGTTGCTAGTTTTATATAAAACAGCAGCTAGTTTTCTGAATGTAAAATGATGTACCACAATAAATAGAACATTAAGAGCTGTTTTTAAAGCTGAAATGAATTTTATGCAATAAGATTTTGAATAATGTTATTAGATTTTACCCAAATGTTTTAAATATATTTATTTAGATGATGGTTTTCTTTAGAAAACAAGTCACAAAATTAAAATAGTATTTTTGTCATCACATATTAATTCAAATTTCCCTGCCTCTGCTGATACTGAAAATAGCCAAGGCTGCTTACAATTTATACAAACATTAAGCCAAAATTAATTTTATTTCATTGTCTTCAGTTCAGTTCAGTTCAGTCACTCAATCATGTCTAACTCCTTGCGACCCCATGGACTACAGCACTCCAGGCTTCCCTGTCCATNGCAATCTTGATTCCAGCTTGTGCTTTATCCAGCCTGGCATATCACATGATGTACTCTGCATATAGGTTAAATAACAAGGTGACAATATACAGTCTTGATGTACTCCTTTCCCTATTTGGAACCAGTCTACTGTTCCGTGTCCACTGTTGTTTCTTAACCTGCATACAGATTTCTCAAGAGGCAGGTAAGGTGGTCTGGCATTCCCATCTCTTTAAGAATTTTCCAGTTTGTTGTGATCCACACAAAGGCTTTGGCATAGTCAATAAAGCATAAGCATATGTTTTTCTGGAACTCTTTTGCTTTTTTGGTAATCCAGCTGATGTTGGCAATTTGATCTCTGGTTTCTCTGCCTTTTCTAAATCCAGTTTGAACATCTGTAAGTTCATGGTTCACGTACTGCTGAAGCCTGGCTTGGAGAATTTTGAGCACTACTTTGCTAGTGTGTGAGATGAGTGCAATTGTGCAGTAGTTTGAACAGTCTTTGTCACTGTCCTTCTTTTGGATTGGAATGAAAACTGATCTTTTCCAGTCCTGTGGCCACTGCTGAGTTTTCCAAATTTGCTGGCCTGTTGAGTGCAGCACTTTCATAGCATCATCTTATAGGATTTGAAATAGCTCAACTGGAATTCCATCACCTCCACTAGCTTTGCTCATAGTCTTGACTTTGTATTCTAAGATGTCTGGCTCTCAGTGAGTGATCACACCATTGTGGTTATCTGGGTCATGAAGATCTCTTTTGTATAGTTCTTCTGTGTATTCTTGCCACCTCTTCTTAATATCTTCTACTTCTGTTAGGTCCATACCATTTCTGTCCTTTATCAAGCCCATCTTTGCATGAAATTTTTCCCTTGGTATCTCCAATTTTCTTGAAGAGATATGTAGTCTTTCCCATTCTGTTCTTTTCCTCTATTTCTTTGCATTGATCACTGAGGAAGGCTTTATTTTCTCTCGTTGCTATTCTTTGGAACTCTTCATTCAAATGGGAATATCTTTCCTTTTCTCCTTTTCCTTTCACTTCTTTTCATAGCTATTTTTAATGCCTCCTCAGACAACCATTTTGCCTTTTTGCATTTCTTTTTCTTGGGGATGGTCTTGATCACTGCCTCTTGTACAGTGTCATGAACCTCCATCCATAGTCTTCAGGTACTCTGTCTATCAGATCTAATCACTTGAATTCATTTGTCTCTTCCACTGTATAATCATAAAGGATAAGATTTAGGTCATACCTGAATGGTCTAGTGGTTTCCCCAACTTTCTTCAATTTACTTCTGAATTTGGCAATAAAAAGTTCATGATCTGATTTCATTGTCTTGCTATTACACAAATTATTGTCAAATGTTTATCAACAGTTTAATGTTGTTTTAGAGAATGGGATTAGCAATATAAAAGTGACAGTTCTCATAGTTTTAAATTTTGGTTGAATATGTTGACTGTGAACAAAATCTACTTGACTACTACAGATTACTCATGAGTTCTGTTATTAACAGTAGGAAATTGGAAAATCATTTGCTATAGCATGAAAAACATCCAGCTTGAATCTGGAGAGATGCTAATAGCTCAAAGCAGAAAATTTGAGTAATGCATAGATTATTTTATTCTTCATTCCAAATTTGAAAGTTGACCAAATAATGCTTTAATTCTAATTTTTTTTATCTGTACCACATGAAAGCAGCAGCAAAATTTTTAAAATCAACCATACATACTACTAAAGAATATAGCAAGGATGCCATTAATCTTCTTACAGAAAAGAAATGCCAAAACTCAATTGTTTTATCTATAACATATTCTTCTCAGTTATTTCACCTGTTGACATATTTATACTGACACATGTTAATGTAATGAAAAGATTCAAAGAATGTGGTTTTGTGTTCCAGTTTTAAAGACACTGCTACGTAGAACTTTTTGGGATTCTTTTCTTTGGTGAGTTTCACAGAAATACTTTCCTGGGGTAATATGATGAAGGGAGTTCTTAGGAAGCTGTCAAATATCATGGCAATCCTTTGAAGTTTGTTTTCTTCTGTGTTATTGGTTCAAAGTACTGGTGTTCCCCTTCATTTCTAGTAATTAGTTGTTATAGACTATCACTTTTTAATGTGAGTGAAAATTAGATAATTTGGTTATACTTGTGAAAACATGCTCCCAAATAAATTCAATTAATGGGCACTCCCCTGCTGAGATTTTGTTATCATTCATTTAATTATCTTGTCAAGCTTTATTGTTACCACTGTTGTTTTGGCTTTTTAGTCAATAAACTAAGGGAATTTCTCCAACAGCCTTATACCTCTCCTGCACTTGATATAGTAGCATGCACTTCAAATTTCTGTCAGAAGTCACTAAAGAAATTTCCTACTGAGGTGAAGTATTTAGGAACCAGCTTGATTATTTTTCATAAGCATTCTGATTTGGTTTTATTCTGACACTTTGCTGTATTTGTATGCAAGCCAGAAACCAGCTCAATTTGAAAAAGGTTGTCGCATCTACAAACTGGAATAACCATGTGCAGGGCACAAGTGCCTTACTTCCTAGGATTTTATTTATGAACATTATTGTCTATTTTTACTTTGCAACTCCTAATAATTCAACTTAAAAGGTATAATTGGATGACCATGTTATAAGTTTCCAATAAGAACATTTTATTTAGAAAAGTATTTTCTTGCATTTAGTTTGATTTTTGTATGATACCAAATGGGTCCAAATGACTTCTGGACAGAACAAGGTGAGTTTTTGGATAGCAACAGTTATTTAGCATTTTATTTAATGGTACATGTAGAAATTTAAATCTATAGCAAATTTTTTTTCCAAATAAGTAATTTTAATGTAAAAGAAGTCTGAGTTGTCAGGGACAATTATAAATCAAACAGTTATGTAATCTTTTCTAGTCAAGCATTATATATACCATATGGTATATATAGCTTAGGAACTATATGGTTTATACAATATTTAAGATGGCCCTTTCAGACTCATATATTTACAAATGACATTGTATTAATATATCTCTCTATGTATGTATTGATATGACAGAATTTAGTTCTCTATGAAAAGTCAAGCCAAAGTGCTAGCAGTTTTGTGTTGAAATGAATGATAATAATTAGAGCTTTAAAGAAACTTGTACAAATACAGTAACAAAAACTCAGCAGATGAAATTAAAGCAGAGAAACTATTTTTGAATGCCATATCCAGAATTGATATCTGTATTAGATGGTGTGTTTAGAAGGATTTTAGTGTTTTTGATTCATCCCTCTCTGCGCTTATCATTTAGCATATTAATGGGACAAATGTCATGTTTTTTTGTAATAAAAGGCCATTGGGTTGTCATGTTTCAGCTTGTGTTTTGACATCCATGGCTTTCATTAAAACAAATTCATCATCACAAATAAATATTACCATGTTTTCCAAGTTGTGTTGACCATTTTTAAACTCAGAAATAATTTTTTCTTTGCTTGACACACACAAAAACATTTCCAAGATAAATGTTCCCTTGCAACTTCTTTCTATTGCCCACACAT